TAATAATAATAATAATAATAATAATAATAATAATAATAATAATGATGATGATAATAATAATAATAACATTCGGCTGTATTTTGAAAGTGCGCGTGCTGGTTCGCTGCAATCGTCAATTTCTGTAATACGATTAGTAATAATAATAATAATATTATAATAATAAATGTTATATTAATGTACGCGATATATTTAATACTCAATAATTCTATTTGAAAAACATAACTTTATAAAAATACTATTAAACGGCAATGTATGCAGTAACGTTTTTAGCACAATTTCTTTTCAAATATACGTAGGGTAGTTTTAAACAGTAATAATGAGGCCATCCGTAATATATGTACTATGTATATATATATATGTATACATATATATATTAATTATTTTGCATGGCGATAGTGATGGTGTGCGTGTGTATGTGTGTGTAGTTTCTTGTCGCGTTAAAACACGAAAGAAATGGAAAAGCACGAACAATAGAGGCTTTTCGATTTTTTTTTTATCACGACGGATAAATACAACAAATAACTTCACCTTCGGTGCGCGAATATGATTTTAGCAAATTAATCGCACAACAAATCCTAGGATTATAAGCGTTTAGTTTCTTTATTCCTTTATATATATAAGCTACTATATTATAATAATTATAATAATAGGAGAGTAACGTGTGTTACGAATAAAAATAATAATTAAACGCCGTGGTATGTCTATCTAATCGTCGTTCTAATATTAGAAGATCAGATACATCAGGAATCGTACAAATAAGAATAATACAAATTCAACTTTTGCAGTTTTTATAAGCTTATTACTCTACCATATCGCACATTCAATAATAATAATAATAATAATAATAATATTAATTAACATTAATAATAATTATATATATACCACGGCTCTATATGAAAACAATGCGGTCTTTGTAATATACTAGCATTCATATAACTTTTCTTAGTCTGCGTTAATTATTAGTTATGATATATTTTGTTCTAATTAAACTGCTATTTTCTTTTTACTTTTATTTTGTTTTTATTTTTCTAACGTGTGCCTGAGCTGCTGGAAGCAAAAAGTGCGCGGACGTTAGTTAAATCACCGACGAAGTTATTATTAAATAATATTAAATTGTTTATTAATCAATACAACGCGTTTTTGTGTGTTAGTATTGATACCATGACAAAAAAGAAATCAAAAAAAAGTTTAAAAATTTCGAAATTTTTTTTACAAAATATACTCGTTGAAAATAATAAAAATTTGATAACTTCGTCAGCGAATAGACAATAAAATACTTTCCAAATGAACCTAAATCTTCTTGCGACGACAACGACGATGATTGTCACGAATAAAAAAAAAATTGTTTTTTATATGTGATGCTTTTAACTTAACAAAAGTATAATAATTTTATTGTTAATGTTTTTTAGTAGTAGTAGTAGTAGTAGTAGTAGTAGTAGTAGTAGTATTAGTGGTAGTAGTAGTAGTAATAGTAGTAATAGTAGTAGTAGTAGTAGTAATATATATGTATATATAACTATAGTACTTAAATTACTATATTACAAATAACCAAAGTCCCGATATATTATGTCTGAGATATTACTTTTGTCATATATTTTTTATCTGCATTTGTTTTAATCAATTCTTCTTTACGAGAACCAGTTTAAAAAATTTACGCTCCTTTTTATTTTTTCCATTCCACCTAATTTGCATTTTAAGAACAAAATTTTCCAGAAAAGGAATTAAAAAGCAAAGGCCAAGAATTTTTCAAATAATCCTAACGATAATTGTATCTTCTTAAATATACACAAGTACTTACAACTCAATACATACTTCTGCTTTCATTTATTTAATTAATTAATTAATTAATTTATTTATTTATTCATTTGTTGTTATTCCATTTAAAACTATGTACATGCGTAAATATGTACATGCGAGTTAATAATACAGGGTGGCCGGACAATTGTAGAGAAGATTATATCGCTAAGAATCTTCTTAGATTATTTTTTATCTTTATGTATATATTTCTTTTAATTATTATTATTAATATTATTTCGACAATTCTATATAGGAAAAGTTAATCAATAAAAACGATATATATATATATTATATATTTATATATATAAA